TTTCTTCAGGTTTTCTAGATATAGTCAAATGGTTTTGCAAAGTGATTATACCAATTTATCCTCCTACCATCAATGCATAAGAGCTCTACTTGGGACTGTGTGTGTGTGTGTCTGCATGTGTTTCACTTTAGTCATTCTACTGGGGGCATAGTGGTATCTTATTGTGGTTTTAATTTGCATTTCCTTAATGATTAGTGACGTTGAGCACTTTTTCTTCCCTTTTTAGGCCATTTGGGTATACTGTTTTTCTCATGTTCTTTCCTAAAAGCATTATTGTTTTACCTTTCAGTTAGATTTGAAATCTATCTGGAATAAGTTTTGTATACGGTTTGAGGTAGGGGTAAGACGACTATTTTTCCTTATGGATAGCCAATTGACCCACCATTTATTGAAAAGATAAATCCTTTCCCCAGTGCATTGTGGCAGCTCTTTTGTCATATATCAGGTGTCCTTATACTTGTGGCTTATTTTTGAACTCTATATTCTGTTCCATTGGTCTGTGAGACAGTACCCCGTGAGCTTTGTGATCAGCCTTGTTACTTAGTGTAAGTCCTCCGGCTTGTTCTCTTCAAATGGCTCTGCTTATTCTGGGCCCTTTGTGGCTTTGAGGCCCATGGTGGCTTTGAGTCCCTCTTGCTTCTGGGCTTGGGTTCAGCTGTATCCTTGGTTCTTATCATACCCCTGGGGCTGATGCTGGCTCCATGACCCCGTCTCTCAGAGGCTCAGAGGGGTAAGTGACTTGCCCCTCCACACAGCTCTGGAGCCTGGCCTTGGCTTCTGCCTCAAGGACAAATTCCTTGGTGTTCCCATCTACAAAATGGCTTAAGTGGTCCAGGGAAGGCTCACGGGTATCAGGCCACTGGAAGATGAGGCCTTATTCTATCCTGTACACAGCCAGGCTGTCCCTGCCACCTCCAGCAGGTCCAGGGAACAGCAGACTAGGCCACACAGCCTCCTGGAAGAGGAGTACCAACCATGTCCCAGGTGAGGACAGACTGAGCTTCCCTAAGGCAGGCCTAGGAACAGATGCCACTTTCTTTCTGTCGTCTGTCACCTTAGAGGCTGGAACCCAGTGGGGCTCAGAGGAGCCTTGCTGATTGACAGCTCAGAGGGGTTCCCACCTTGCCCAAGGACACACGGCAGCTAAATGATGCAGCTGGGATGCAAACTCAGATCTGACTGACCTGCCAGAAGTCTGGGTTCCTGAAGCTCCCTAGTGAGCACCCCCAGCCCCCTCATTCTGATCCAACTCCAAACTTCCACTCTTGGTCCACAGAGGCCACGCTGGGTCTGACTCACCGCCACAGAGGTCACAGGCTGGGTCTGACTCACTGCTGCCCTGGCCACAGGAGGAGGAGGGCTGATACCAGTGAGCCTTCCCTGGAGATGATGACCAGCTAAGCCATTTTGTAGATGGGAACATCAAGGAACTTGTCCAGAGTCTGCAGCCTCTTATGCAGGTCTCAAGCCTCCAGACTTCATTTCCTAGGCTTCCCAAAGCAGGGCCCAGGTTAGCACTGTGCTCCTTTTAGGGGGTGCCCTGATGTGGTAAGAAAGATGTCTTTCGTACCTCTGAGCCTTCGCGTGAGCTGTTTCCTTTGCCGGGAATGGCCTTTCTCTCCTGCCTCTGTGGCCGGGCTTGTGTGGAGGCTTCCCTGCTTTCCTCTTGCTGAATGAGACATACTTCATTTGGCCTTGTGTCTGTTGGCCACACTAGACCAACTCAGACAGGAACCCCAAGTTGTGGTAGCCCCCCCATGCCTGGCAGGGGTCTGGACACATCGTGGGTGAAGCCCAGATGTCGACTGCCTGAGATTGTCAGTCCTCAGGGCACAGAGCATGAAAGGATACAGAGTGCCGCTCTGCATGGTGGGGTATTATTTGCTCCTCACAGTGGTCCAGAGGCCCTGGCACATTGTCTCTTCCAGACAAGGAGCATGCAGACCAGTGAGGTGATGCGGCCTGCTCAGGGCAGCGGGGGCCCGGGCCGAGTCTCAGGTGCTGGAGAAGGGCCGGGCTGCAGCAGAATGTGCTAGGGCTACAGCCTAGATAGTGGGGGTGTGGGCACTGGCTGGCACCCAGCTATCAGGGAGGGGAGGAGAGGAGAGCCAGGCCTGCGCCAGGGTGAAGGGGTGGGCCCTGCTGCAGCAGACCTGAGTGCTGGCGGCTGTGATGTGGAAAGCTGATTCCCCTTGGGAGCCTCTGCCACTCTCTGAGCCTTTTTCTCTTCTTGAAGGAATTCCACCTGTACTCATGTTTATTGGTTCATGCAACACAGCTACTCAGTCCCTGAAGCCCGGCATTGGACCCTGGGATAGAGAGAGGAGCTGGACATGGCCCCTGCCCTGGAGGGATATGGGGTAGGCTGGGGAGGCAGAGAAGTCATGTGCAGATGGGGTACAGTGTTAATGGGTGCTGTCCCAGGGGCACAGGATGGCAGAGGAACACTGTGTGCAGAGGCCCCGAGGAAACAGTTTTGTGGGAGCTGCGAGGAGCTCCGAGCCCTGGAGCTTCAGCCCAGGGTGGAGAATGGTGGGGATGAGACTGGCAGGAGGAGGGAAGAGGGCAGGCGCACAGGGCAGCTGGGAAGCTCAGGTGGTCCTGCTTGGCCCAAACAGCTGAAAACACCAGGGAGACAGGAAGTGCTGCGGGCCTAAGCTCAGGCTCAGAAAGAAAAGGCCTGGGTGGAGCAGCTTGCCTGCCTCGTGGTCTGTCTGTGGCCTTCAGTGCTCTACCTGGAGCTAGCAGAGGACAGCTGACCCTGTTGGGGTGTTGGCCCCATAGATACACTGGGAGGTGACCTTGGGGCAGATGGAGAGTATAGAGGGCAGTCTGTGTAAGGGCTGGGGCCAGAAGAACCTCACATAAGTAGGCCAAGGTCAGCCTGGCAGGCGGGTGAGCCTGGAGGAATGGGGCAATGGTATCAGACCCTCAGCCAGCCAGGCCTGGCCCTGTGCAGCCCTCGGCCTAGCTGAGCTCTCCCTTTGTGGCCTCTCCCTCCCTTCCGTCATCCCCAGGAGTGGACCCTCCCAACAGTGTTGGCCCCTTCCTGGCCTGGAGAACACCCAGACCCTCTTTCTCTACCGGCCTGGCTGTGTGACCTGGGTGAGCTTGCTCCCCATCTCTGGGCCCTCTAGGCTCAGAAACACTGGAATTGCAAGAGCTGATTTCTGGGCTCCTGCTTTCAGCTTCTCTGATCTAATTCTTTTAGCTTAAATTGCTTCCCGAGCTGACCCTGCCGGAAACCCGTGGTGCTAATGATGCTCCTTGGTGACTGTGCCAGAAGCCTGAAGCCCGGGAGCTGGCTCTGTGGGCTCCTCTCTCTCCCTTAGGCCTCCGAGGCAGGGAGAATGGGTGGGAGGGGGCAGGGCTGCTGGCCTCCCTGGGCAGAGGGGCAGCCAGAGAAGTTAAGTGGTTGGCCTGAGGTCACAAGCTGCCCCAGTACGGATGTGGGGGCAGAAGGTGAAATGGCTTCAGGTGCAGAGCAGGGGACAACTGCTGTCAGCTCCCTTGGCAGGTGGGGGGGACAATGGCCCCCCTTCCTCCCTGCTGTCCATCCGTGCCCGTGCTCACTACCCGAACTCGCCTCTTTCCCTTCCTGTCTCTCCCTTCCCTATTTCCCTCCACGTGAGGCCCCAGTGAGGCCCCAGCTCAGCCACGGTGTGTGGGGAGACCCTGAGTGAGAGCGGTAGGGTCACACAGCCAAGGCGGTGGTACTGAAGTCGGAGGATCTGGGTCCCTGTCCAGACACCAGGTTTCCGGGGGAGCTTGGGCAGGTCGCCTCACCTCACTGAGCCTCAGTTGTATTTTGTGAAAGCTGGCAGCCGTGTGCCCACTGGCACTGTTGGCAGGCAGTATACACGCACATCTGGCCAGGGAAAAGGGGCGTCTCTTGGGACCACCAGGTGTCTCGGCCCCTGCCGCCTCACTCCTCTTCCTACTGGCGTGCTTGGCAGGCTCCTCAGCCTTCAGTTAATGGGTTCGCTCCTTCCAGGAGGTGCAGCAGCGCTGCGTAGTTCCCATCACTGAGCCGAGAAAACGGCCCAGAGAGTTCACATGACCTGTCCGGCGTCACCCAGCAGGAGGGCGGTGCCACTGGGGCTGGCACTCACTCGGTCTTGCTCTCAGATGTCGCTCCCACAGCCAGCCTACCTTGCCCTGGTTTCCGTCAGGGCTGGGCTGGAAATTGTGGCCTTTACCCCCAAAGGGTTGCACTGTTACCCTGGGCAGGCCCCAGGAAGAGGAGACCGGGCGCTGTGGGGCTGCACCGCAGCCCAGATGGAGTTTGAGGGATGGGGTGGGGGGGGTCATAAATGGGGTGGTCACTCAGGCGCTTGGCTGTCTGAGCATCTCTCGGCGCACCTGATACGCAGGCCCTGCCAGCCACTGTTCCTTGCCCTGCCCTGCCCTGCCCTCTACCCACACCAGGGCCCCTGGGGAATGGAGGGAGGGTTAAGGAGCCATGGGCCTGCTCTCTACGGAATTGGAGGCATCTATTCCAAGGTGCTGTGAGGAAGGCAGCATGGTGCGGGGAGGACCGAGAGAATGAATGAATGATGCCAAGAGGGGTACCTGGGGCAAGGTTTTCCCACACCAGACAGAAATGTGCCACTCTCTAGAGGAGGGGAGGGAAACCCGGAGGCACACGCTGCTTTCCTGTGGGAGGCACAGGAGCTGCCAGGGCTGGCCACTGGTCTGATTCTGTCTGAGGAGGTATACGGAAGGTTGGTCAAAGGAATGCAGCGAGGTGGGTGCGGTCTGGGCCAGGCCTGAGCTCTGAGTGGCCTGCGGGCCTGGTACCGCCTCTGAGCTTCAGAAACGAGAAAATCCAGTCTGTGAAGGTCCCGCTCTGCCGTATACCAGCTGTGTGACCTTTGATAGGCTCCACGCCTCTCTGAGCCTTCCTTGCCTGTACCATGGGGCTGATGATGTCCACTTCACAGGGCACAGCAGGGACCCAGGGACTCCACGAGTGACGGTCTTCTTGCCCTCCTGTCCAGGTGTTCCCCCTTCCCTCCCTGAGGCAGCAACCACCATGTTCTCGTGCGTGAAGCCCTATGAGGACCAGAACTACTCGGCCCTGAGGCGGGACTGCCTGCGCAGGAAGGTGCTCTTCGAGGACCCCCTCTTCCCTGCCACTGATGACTCGCTCTACTATAAGGGCACGCCAGGGCCCACTGTCAGGTGGAAGCGGCCCAAGGTCAGTGTCTGGTCCCAGCTGGAGCTGGGTGAGCAGGCCTAGGCCCACCCACACGGCTGGGTCTGCAGGGACATTGGAGTGGCGGGAGGAGGCATCCTTAGCCCCAGGCTGCTGAGAAAGTGAGGGTGCTGAAACGGTGAAATTTGATCTGGATGGGGAGCTCGGAGAATGGGCTGTAATCCTGTGCCCACCACTGGACTGGTTGAGGCCCAGCCAGGCCTTCATCCCTCTCAGGGCCTCCGCTTCCTCACAGGAAAAACGGGGCAGTAACCTCAGCCCCACTGAGGGTCATTTTTGGAATAAAAATGGGGTGATGTGGATATGACCGTTTTTAGTAAAATGTAGACTGACATCCAAATGTAAGGAATTTGCTTTCCTGATTGTTATCATCATGATTTTGAAATAGTCATTTGTGGTAGAAATGAAAAGTATTTATTATGATGATTAATCAATAATAATAATAATAGTAAAAAAAATAGTAGTACCTACCTCATAGGGTGGTTGTGAGAATTAAAAGAGGTAATGCATGCCAGATTCCACACACAGCCTGGCAGCCAGTACGGGACCATGGCTATTGATAATGATGAACAGGTGGCATCTCTCCGACCGCTTCTCTTGGTCCCTGAGGCTAGAGTGTGTTACACAGAAATGTTTGGCCTTGTGGTGTGATTTCATCCCCATGAACCCCAATTCCTGGATGTGAGGGTGGGCTGGGGAGGGGTTCGCTGCTTGTCTGTGGATCCTGCAGAGTGGGGTCCCTGGTGGCCTGGATGGAGGGGAAGCGACTGGAGGTTACTGCGCAGGCCCCTCCTTGGCCTCCAGGGCTGTGCTGGTGACACTGTGAGGGCCATCCCCTCACAGTGCAGGAGACTGTGCTGTCTCAAGGATGCTCAGGGCCGGAGGAGGCTGTGACTCCCGCAGCCCAGTAATCAGAGGAGGCGTCTTGAAGGTGAAGGGTGATGAGGCTTTTGCCCGAAGGGCCGGGTGGGAAAAGGCAGAGGGAATAGAAACTCACAGGTCGGAGCCCCTCAGGCTCCTGTGGGCCGGCGGAGGGCGGTGCCCGGGATGGCAGATCTGGGGCCAAGATGCTCAACCTTGCTCTGTGGGTAGGGAGGTCCCTCTGAGGCAAAGGCTTTCAGCAGCCTGTGATAGGGTCAGATTTGCATTTTCCAAAGTTCCCTGTGATCCCCTGGGCTTTTTGGGAAAATGAAATGTAGTTTTCTAGTTTCCCTCCCAGGCTATGATCTCGAGTCCCTTCTGACTGAAAATACCCTGTAGATGTCCTTGGACTGGGACTCTTGAGAGGCAGAGAAACTGAGGCCAAGAGAGGAAGGTGCATGTCCTAGATCGCCCATGAGCTGCTAGCAGGGGTAGGTGAGGACCCAGGAGCCTTGCCTCCCTGCGTCCCACCTTCCTGACACCAGATAAAGGGCCCCTGGTGCCCTTGACCTCAGTCCCAAGAGCTGTAACAGACCCCCTGGCCCTGTACTGACTCTCTGGAAGGCCCAGGAGCCTCCTGGCCTGGCCACAAGAGTTCTGCCTCTCGGGCCCCCTCTCCCACACACGCCTTCCTCTCTTCCTTTGTCAAGTAGGTGGAGAGGGAGCTGGCCTCAAAGGGCCTTTGTGAGGCCTTGGCTGCGGCGGGGAGGGCTGGGCACTCGAGGTCTTCACCCTCCTCCCACTCCATCGCCTGGCTGCCCCCATCCTGACTCCCTCCTGCCCTCTGGCCATTGCCCAGATGGACTGGAAAGAGGCTGGTGAGGCCTGGCGGGAGCAGGCTGGGCCTGCCTCGGTGAAAGGAGGAGACGCCAGGTTGGCCCACTTGGTACTCTCCCGCTGCGTGAACCAGGGGAGTCAGCTGCCCTTTCTGAGCCCCTTTCCTTGCGGGTTCAGGAGCCCTGCCACACCTCCTCCTCTCATTGCCTTCCTTGCTGGCTCACTCGGTGTCCTGCCCTTTCCAGACACGCAGAGCTGCCCTTTCCAAACACGCAGAGCTGCCCTGTCCTGGATGTGGGGGCAGGTGGCAGAGAACATATGGTGGCTGGTGTTCAGAGAGCTGTGTGAGTGGAGCCCATGGGGCAGCATCGATAGGGATTCAGACCAGGCTGGGGTGGATGGTCCATGGCACTGCCTGGATTTCCTAAACCGTGTGTGCAGGCACTGCCTACTGGCTGGCAACAGGCCTGCGGGACAGGCAGCCCCTGTCCCACTAATGGGATGGGAGGTTTGTGGAGCAGGAAGTCAAGCAGTCTTGGCTCAGCAGTGAGGCAGGCCCAGCCCAGTGGGTTATTAGTAACACCCAGCTGCTCACCAGTGAGAGGGAACTTTGGCCTCAGGCAGCCTTGTTTTGATGAAGTCTTACCTGTGACCGCCTGTTTACAAATGGGAAGCGGTGCTGCATGCATGCCCATCCATCCCCTCCAGCTTCTTCTCTGAGTTGGTCCTTTTTTTTCCAGACGGAGCCTCGCTCTGTCGCCCAGGCTGGAGTGCAGTGGCGCGGTCTCGGCTCACTGCAAGCTCCGCCTCCCGGGTTCACGCCATTCTCCTGGCTCAGCCTCCCGAGTAGCTGGGACTACAGGTGCCCGCCACTATGCCCGGCTAATTTTTTGTATTTTTATTAGAGACGGGGTTTCACCATGTTAGCCAGGATGGTCTCGATCTCCTGACCTTTTGATCCATCCGCCTTGGCCTCCCAAAGTGCTGGGATTACAGGCATGAGCCACTGCGCCCGGCTGAGTTGGTCCTTATAGTGGCTGCTCTGTTCTTGGAGGATGTCCTCAACCAGGCTCCCAGCCTCCCTGCCTCTCAAATGGAATGCCGAGGCTAGTTTTTGAGCCAGAATGAACTCGACTCCAGCCTTGGCCCTACCTCACTAGAAGTGTGACCTTGAACAAGTCACTCCTACTTGGGCCTCAGTTTCCTCATCTGTAATTGGGGAAGGATAATTCTTGCTGGTCACAGTTTCTGGAAACTGAAATGACTTGAGGTATTTGTGGTGTCATACACATGGAAGACAGGTGACAAACTGGTTCCCCTCTCTTGCTCGTCTTATCCTTGGCAACCCTGTGTTGGAGACCTAGAACCACCCTGGCTGGGACATCCCATCTCCTATTGACTCTGCAGGTGGGACCAGGCCTTGTCCTCTTGGGTGCTGACCTGGGCACTTGCCTTGAACCCACACCCTTTGTCCACAGGCTCGCTATGTTTTTGTTCTTTCCAGTACAGTGGTCATTCACCGGCCCCTCACAGGCCTGGCTGAGGAGATGCGTGGAGAATGGGGACTGTCCCCAGGCCTGGGAGCTCAGGGTGTCCTTTCTCCTCGCTCAGGGCTAGGGCCCTGGTAGGCGGCCTCCTGTCACCACTGTGGGGGCAGCATCCCCTCATCCAGTGCGCTGTCTCTCCCACATCTGGGTATGAGCCTGGAGGGCCTTTGGTGGAATGCAGAGGGGACAAGGGGTGGGGGTCCAATGAACAGACACCAGTTTGGAACCTCCAGAATTCCCCCGGGGCAGTCTCGGGGGCCCCAGCCCCAGCCCAGTCCCTGGGATCTTATCCATCAAGCCATTTCCTGGAGATGGCCCTACTCCTGGGCTCCCTGAACATAAGGCCTTTTCATGCCACAGAACAGGCAGTTTGCAGCAAGGCCTGGCAGCGCGGGGAGGCGGGGGCAACGGCCCAGGAATGACCCCCTTCTGGGCATGTGCTCAGAGATGGGGTTCAGTGGGGTCAGAGAGAGCTTTCAGAGGCCTTGAAGGGTGGGGACCGCCATGGAGGAGAAGGAGATAGGGCTGGGGGAGGGCAAGTCTTCTGCAGAGGGGATGGGCCGTAGGCTACAGCTCCTTTTCCAGTTCCAGATGGAAGTCCCGGACCTGTTTCCCACTGTCTAGTTCATTCCTTCTGTGATCCTAGATTCCAGGAGGGAGGTGACTGGGGTGAAGCTGGATGGACAAAGAGTGGGGGAGGAGGACAGACGTGGAGGGAGCCTCTGCAGGTACAGCTCAGGTGCCATGGATCCAGTCTGCTGCCTTGCCTTGCCTTGTACACCAGGACTAGAAACCGGAATTTCTTGTTGTGCCACGAGGGGAGAAGGGAGGTGGGCTGGGCTGTGGCCTGTCAGGTGAAGCTGGTCTAACTGGCTGGGAGGGGCTGAGCAGGGGAGCGGTGACTGCAGGTGCAGAAGGCTGTCCTAGAGCTGTGTTGACTGGAGAAATGGTCAACCTCCAGCCCTCAGGGGCAGCCCCGTACAGCCCAATCCTGTGCACCACTTTGTCCCCCCTCCCTCCCAGGGACCTGTCCGCAGCCCCAGTGGAACCTGCCAAGCTTTGCTAAACCTGGAAGTTGGCAAAATCAGGCCTGGGCCCTGCTTAGGAGCTCACAGGCTGGTGGTGGGGACCCTAAGGAAACCCAGCAAGTATGCACAGGGATGGAAGGGAGCACAGGTGGTTGGGCACCTGAGGACCGCTTTGGAGGCAGCATCTGCCTTAGGACACTTCGGGTCTCCATTTCCCTCCTGAACCTTCCTGCTTACCAGCACTCTCCATGCCTGCTCTGCCAGCATCACTGCCTCCAGGCAGCTTCCTCTGATTTATCTCTGGCTCCTGTTGTCACAGCCCTGCTCACATGGAGGTTCAGGGCCTGGCTCCTTCTCAAGGTCCCTGCCTGTGGGCAGAGACCTTCCCTCACTTACTCTATGACCTATGTCCAGCCAGTGGCCCAGGAAAAGCGGAAGGACAAACACTGGACTTGAGAAGCCTGGCCCCATGGTGGCAGGGGTGAGGGCCTGGGCATCCCCAACCCCTTGGTCTCATTGCTATCTAGTGAGATACCCCCTAATCTGGGTTAGGACAGGTGCAGGGAGACAGGTGAAGGAAGGATGGCTTTGTCACCCATAAAACCTAGCCCACCTGAGACCAGCCTGGACAACATGGTGAAACCCTGTCTCTACTAAAAATAGAAAAATTAGCTGGGTGTGGTGGCAGGCGCCTATAGCCCCAGCTACTCTAGAGGCTGAGGCAGGAGAATTGTTTGAACCCAGGAGGCGGAGGTTGCAGTGAGCCAAGATCGCGCCACTGCACTCCAGCCTGGGCGACAGGGCGAGACTCCATCTAAAAAACAAACAAACAAACAAACCTAGTCCACCTGGAGACTGCAGCCAGACCGCCTGAATTTGAATCTCAGTTCACCTTTTCTTGTGTGGCCCTGAGCAAGTGACTTAATCTTTCTGTGCCTTGGTTTCCTCATCCATAAAAAGGGGATGCCAACTGTGCCCACTCACAGGGTTGTTTTGCACAGTGCCTGCCACATAGCAGGTGCCCAGTCGTCATGAGATATTTCTACTATTGTTCCTTTACAGGTGCCCCAAGGTGGCCCCTGGATTCCAGAGCAGACTCCAGGTGCCACCAACCTCAGGTGGCTTCTCTTGGTGAGAGCTGGTGACCCTGAGCCTCTCCTGGCAGTGGGAACATGCCTGGCTGCCTTCTGCTCTGTCTGGCTGCACAATTGCCCCCAGGTCCCTGCTCTTCCACAGCAAGTCAGGGTGATGGAATCTGGGAATCGCGACTCCCGAGCTCCGTCTGTCTCTCAAGGACTGGAGAAGTGTCTGGGGCCAGAGCCCTGTTCTGGGGCCCAGATCTGGTTGGATCTGCACCTCAGGTCTGCCCCAGCTGTGGTGCTCAGTGTGGGGAGACCGTGGTTGGGAGCCCAGCAGACCTAGGGTGTCCCATCGGATTGGCCCACTTACTTGCCTTGTTATCTTGGACATCACTGCCCTGTCCTGGGCTCACCCTCCTCCTCTGTGGGATGGGGCAGTCGTGTGTCTGTCTTAGGACACTGGCTGGGAGGATCTGAAGTGGAGGGTCACCTGAGTCACTTCCTGCCATAGACCCTGCTGATGGCAGGTGGTAGCTGTTTCTCTTCCCAGGGATGTGGCTGGGGTCCTCCGTATATGGAAGCCCCTCTCCCTTCCCCGTCTTGCCTGCCCTCCTGGCCTCAGGGAACAGAAGCTAAGTCATAGCTCCCTCTGGCTCAGAGGATGGGCTGGTTGTGGGGTGTGGGCCAGGGCTGGGAGGGAAGATAAGAGGGCAGCGGGGAGGGGAGGCGAGTCCCTTCTTCCTGCCTGTGCTTCCTGAGGGGGTGCCCTTGGGAATGGATGAGAGCAGGTGGCCTCACTGGGTTTCCTAGACCTGTGCTCTGCAGAAGCCGCTGTGCAGGTTGGCCCTGGGGCACCCTGTGGTGCCAACTGGAAGGAGGGGCCAGGTCTCAGGAGCTGCTCATGCCCTTGGGGGCATTCTAGCCTTTTCTCTGACCCTCTAAAACTCTGGTTATTCTGGGCAGAGGTGACAGGCAGGGTCCCCATCTTGGTGGGAACTAGGGGCCCTCTGCCCCATTTTCCCTTGCCACTGCTCTGCTCCGCGATCTGTAGAGTCCCTACACAGCCCTGCAGGGATGGTCATTTATCTCGTCTGCATGGGTGAGGCCCAAAGTTGCACAGCCAGTAGACAGGGAGCAGACATTCAAATTCTGTCTTCCTGCCTCTTCCGCCCTCTGCTGGCCGCCTGTGGTAGGATCGCAGAAGCTCTTGGGATGGAACTAGTTCAGGAGTGCCTGTTGGAGTGGAGGCAGGCAGAGGGCTGCTGCCATCTGCCCGTGCTGTGTGGCCAGGGCATGGTATTCAACCTCCCTGGGCCTCAGTTTCCTTATCTGTAAAAGGGAACTATTGCCCACCTCTCAGTGCCATGGTGAGGATGGATTGTGGTGCTAGCAGGATGCCTGGTGCATGAAAGGCATGTCTCAGTGTTTGCCAGTCCCCACCCTCCACTGTACCCACAACCCCTGGGGAGTAGTGGCTTCCTCAGCTCAGTGAGGCAATGGGAGAGGAGGAGAGGCCTGCTCTGTTCCCTGGGCCAGGGCTAGGGATCAGGCCAGGCCCCACCCCTAGCTCAGGCCTTGGGGCGGGATGATTACAGCTGCGGGAACACAGGGTGAGCTGACCCTTCCTGGTTGCATCTCTTGGTGCTGGAGCCACCCATGGTGGTCTGGGCATAGCTTCCTAGCACGTGAACATTGAAGGAGACTTTCATTCGCTTTGGGTCAGGCCCTGGGCTTAGTACTTTACATACACTGATTTCTCCTCGCAAAGTAGAAATTATTGGCCATGCACGTTGGCTCAAGCCTGTCATCCCAGCACTTTGGGAGGCTAAGGTGGGAAGATTGCTTGAGGTCAGGAGTTTGAGACCAGCCTGGGCAACATAGTAAGACCTCATCTCTACAAAAAATTTAAGAGTTAGCTGAGTGTGGTGGTGTGGACCTACAGTCCCAGTTATTCATGAGGCTTAGGCCAGAGGATCGCTTGAGCCTAGGAGGTTGAGGCTGCAGTGAGCTGTGATTGTGACTGCGCTCCAGTTTGGGTGACAGATGAGACCATGTCTCAAAAAAAGAAAAAAAAAAACCCCAAATCCAACAACATAAAGAAATCGTTGTTCCTACTTTATAAATCAGAAAGCCGAGGCGCAGAGAGCTCGCCAGACTGCCGAGTGAGGAGCTGGAATTCAGTCTCCAGTCTGAAACCAAAGCCCATGCTTTTGCCTTTCACAGCACTGCCTCAGGGAGCTTTTAAGGAAAATACCCCCACCGCAGGAAGAGGTGGAAAACCCAAGCCAGAGCTCCTTGGGCAGCGTCAGGTGCAGAGGGCAGCTGGTACTGGAGCCCCCCTGGGGCAGGGTCAGGTGCAGAGGGCAACTGGTACTGGAGCCCCCCTGGGCTGCCTCTCTCTTGGCAGGCAGGGCAAGGGGCTTCCAGAAATTAGGAAGTGCTGGGCCTGAGAGCAGCCAATTGCTCATGGATCATTCCCTGGTCAGTGGCTGCCCTGGCCAGATTCCCTGGCCACGTCTCATGGAGCAGCCTCTTGGGCCATGCCCGCCGGTCTCTGTAGAAAATAAAAATGGAGGCTGGGTGCGGTGGCTTATGCTTGTAATCCCAGCACTTTGGGAGGCCGAGGTGGGCAGATCACCTTAGGTCAGGAGTTTGAGACCAGCCTGGCCAACATGGAGGAACCGTGTCTCTACTAAAAATATAAAAATTAGCTGGGGATGGTGGTGGGCCCCTGTAATCCCAGCTACTTGGGAGGCTGAGGCAGGAGAATCGCTTGAACCCAGGAGGTGGAGGTTGCAGAGAGCCGAGATTGCGCCACTGTACTCAATGCACTCCAGACCCCAGCCTGGGCAAAAGTGCGAGACTGTGTCAGAAAAGAAAAGAAGAGGGGAGGGGAGGAGAGCGGAGGGGAGGGGAGGAGAGCGGAGGGGAGGGGAGGGGAGGGGACGAAGTTTTTACCTCACTTGAGTTTTTGTTCCACTTGAGCATTTGCTTGCTGTGTGCCTTTGACAAGTCACAGTCCCTCTCTGAACCTCCATTCCTCACCCATACAATGGAATGACAACTCCTCGCTCCTTGGGCGGCATGAGGATCAGATATGAGACTGTACGAGTCAAGTGCCTTGCGGGGCCTGGCCCACTGCTCCCCACTGGCCCCTCACTTTGTGCTCCCCACATGGGATTTGGGTGTTTGCCCCATGCCTGCACTCCCACCCCACTTAATCCTGCTGGGCCCCTGTGGGCTGGCGGGGGTGGGCACTCGGGCTGCTGGTGCTGGAGACAGAAGGGAACAGAGCTTTTGCTGGTTAGGGAGGGGCGCAGCGGGCAGAAGGAAGGCAGTGCCGTGGGTCTGGCGCTCTGACGTCTTCCCACAGGTTCTTCATCAGCAAACCTTTAGCAGAGGAGCCCTCTCCAGCCAGGAAGGGGAGAGGGATCCCAGGCAGGACCACGGGGTAAGGGGCAAGCAGGGAGCAGATGGGCCACATGGGGCCCCGAGTCTGTGGTGGGAGGCAGGTGACTCTCCATGCTCACAGTCACACAGCAAGTCTGTCTGTCATGTCTGTGTCTGCCATGTCCTCTGCCATGGGGGGCATCCGCATGCTCCTCAGCCCCTCACGCTCTCTCCTCACCGTCTCTGCAGGACATTTGCGAGGACCCCCGCCTCTTTGTGGATGGCATCAGCTCCCACGACCTGCACCAGGGCCAGGTGGGCAACTGCTGGTTTGTGGCAGCCTGCTCGTCACTTGCCTCCCGGGAGTCGCTGTGGCAAAAGGTGAGGCCTGGGGCAGGGTGGGGCAGGGTGCTGGGGAGTGTGAACGCAGCCTGCGGCTCTCACTGCCAGACAGGCGGAACCTGAACGTGGCAGATGAGACTTTCAAAAGCCTGTGCCAGGGATGGGGTGGGGGACCCCAGTTCTGGCCGAGCGTCAGAATTGCCATCCCTCACCCTCCAGCTGGGCAGGCACTGGGAATCTGTGGGGCTCCCAAGGTCATTCTGATATGTTCTCCCCGTCCCCGTTGTTGGGGACACTTGGTGGATTAACACACACCTGTGAAATGTGGAAGCTGTGTGCATCACATTTAGTGTGCAGTGTACACCTCTGGTGGGGCTCAGGAGACCCCTGACAGACACAGACCTGCTGCGTGACTCGGCTGGTCGCTGTCCTCCTCTGGGCCTGACTTTTCCCAGTTGTTGAGCAAGGGTGGGTTGGCTATCCCCAGCTTCACGACTCCTGGTTCCAAGCTCTGGTGTTCTGGACTAGGGCCAAAGGGTTTGGGTTGGAAAGAATGGGCTCTGGTCCTGCAACCCGACCTCCTATCCCAGCACTTGGCAGAGGGGCCTTAGATTCAGTTCACAGGAGGCAGGGAGACCAGAGTGGAGGCAGACCCTGGCTTCCTGAAGAATTATTGTCAGGGACTGCAGGGAGACTCTGGTCATGGCCCCTTGCTCATCCCTGCCCTTCTGCCATCCCTTGGGAGGGGCTGGCAGTGGGGCTGAGGAGCACTGGACACCTGCATCTCCCAGGCTTGGCAGTGAGCCTCAGCGCTTGGTAGCTTTGGAGCTGGCCTCAGGTGACTCATCAGCAAAATCAGGACAATCGGAGTGGCTGTCTCTTGGGGAGTGGTGAGGGTGGGACCAGATGCTGCACTCAACAAGCCTTGTGTGGCGTGGTGCTTGGCCAAAGGTGGCCGTGCCTACCAGCATTATGATAATTAATATTATAGAACATACAGGTAAGGTACTCCTGTGCAAGACTGAGATTTTCCTCATTCTCTGAGGTATCCCTTGGCCGTCAGAGGGAGCAGTGCCCTTGGGCGAGGCTGAGACTCTGATAGGTGTCTTGCTCTTGAGTCTGCAGAACAGGGGTGTAACCTTTCAAAGCCACTCCAGGGTGGGCATCCCTGAGGCCTAGCCCCAGTGGTCCTGCAGGGTAGGAGCCCTGCCTGCTGTAGGGCCCCTGGGGCCTTGGCAGAGGCCACGGTTGCAGCGTGTGGATGTGGGTATTCATGGGGCACCTGAGCCAGGAGGGCTTCCGAGAGCCACCTGTTGGCTCATTTTAGTTCTATACCTGAAGGCCCACAGAGGGCTGCAGCCTGGTTCTGTGCTCTGGGTGTCGGGCTGGTCCTCACTCTCCAGCTTCCAGGCTCCCACCCCCTTCTCTGAGCCCAGAACAAGGTCCCCCTGCCTTAGAGCCCAGCCCGTGCTAGATGAGGGCTCAGTCAGGGGCTGAAGGGGCACATGGGCATCCTGTAGGGCTGTCCCCACCTCCCACCTTGCCCTGTAATTGCCTGTTTTATCTTTCACCTCCCCCATGAGGTGAGCTCCCCACGGGCAGAATTGGCCCAACGTATATGTCCCTGCCTAGGCCACCAGGGACGTGGAGTAGAGAAGGCTCAGGAGAGTTTTGGGAGCAGAGCTCCTTTCCAAATTGTTGGGCTCAGCTACCACCCAGCAGCCCCATGGTCGGCCTTGCTGTCCCAGACCTCCCAGGGCCTTGTGGCTCTGGGCCTCACTCCACTGGGTCCTCTCCTGGGGAGGCCATCCGTCTGGCCATTTGTAGGTGGAAGCCTGTGTGTTCTGCCCTGGGCTTGGCCCCAAGCGGTTCCTGGTGCAGCTCTGCCTCTTACCAGTGAAGAGCGGGCCCAGGACTGCAGGCAGGAGGCCCGTGTTTATCTGTGGGCCAAAGGTTCCTATTGCAGGGGGTTGGGGCACCTGGCCTGGCTGGTCTGGGAGGCTGCCAGGGCCAAGAGGCTGATCTACAGCAGCTTGGGTCCCAGGGAGGCCAGGGTGGGTCTGAGCGCTCCTGGCTAATTGCGCTTTGCCTCCTGTGCTGCTGTGGTGCTAGCCCATGGATCCCAGAAGGAGGCTCAGCGCCCTGCGGAGCTCATTACTGTACCTTCCCTCCCTCGTCCCTGCTGACTGGGCTCTGTTTGTTGTCACCCCTCACTTTCTGGGCCTGTTGCCCTGCAGGGCCTCCTTGTTTTCTCCATGGAAGGGCAATGGGGGTGCTGCCCAGCCTGAGCTGCACCCTTGCCCTCCCCACCTCACACTTGGGGATTCTGAGCCTCAGACACACTGAGCATCACACCCTCGACACATATGCCCCCAACACACCCCCACACAGGAAGCCACCCTTACCCCTCACAGGATTGGAAGCCAGCCTGACCTGGATCTGATGCCGGCTGGGTCCGCTGCTAGCTGTTTTTGTCCTCAGTGTAAATTGACCTTTCCAGCGCCCAGGGTTGTGGAGGATTAAAGGGGCCAGAGGAAGGCAAACCCTTGCCTTTCACACTCTCTGCACATGTTAAATTCCCTCCCCTGCCCCCTTCCAGATGCCCCACCTGCTTCTCTGTTCTGCCAGACATCTCTTAGCCTCGTGCCCTGATCCTACGGGGTCCCTGATGGGGGCATTTTAGCTTCCCCGACTTGATGGTACATTCCCTGAGGGCAGGGCAGTGGACTTCAGGTGACTAGGTTTTAGGAACTTGAAATCAGGATGCAACAGTTTGGTTGAACATTTGCCATTGGTCCTGGCCTGGCCTAAGCCAAGGTCAGCTGTGAGCTCACCTCTCTGGAGCCTGGGGCAGCCCCGGGCACAGGGGCACACCTGATGCCTGCTCTGAGCCACAGGGCCAGGCCTGGGCCCAGGGGGAGTCAGGCAGCTCCTGGCCAAAAAAAAAAAAAAGCACGGAAGTGACCAGAGTCCCAGTCGAATGCCTGATTGTCTCTAGGAAAGAGTGCTGGGGTGAGCAACCCTGGGTGGGGCCTGAGAGAGGCCAGTGAGAGCATTTAAAAATGCCTCCCACTCTGTCCCTGACCCGGTTATATTAGCAGTTCCTGCTCTTTAGTTACCAAGTAGTTCCCTTAGCACACATGGATGGAGCACCAGCTGTGCCCTGAGAACCGTAGTAGGTCCTGGGGACGGAAGGCTTGAAAAAGTACAAGGATGTACAAAGTCACTTAAGGTTTTAATTTGTCAGACACAATCAGTGTTAAGGGTTTTCTATGTTTCCTTCTAGTGTTTTTTCCACTTGGTGTTAAAGAGGATTTTGCTTGTTTTGTTTTTTTTTTGAGTTGGAGTTTCGCTCTTGTCGCCCGGGCTGGAGTGCAGTGGTGCAATCACGGCTCACTGCAACCTCCGCCTCCCTGGTTCAAGCAATTCTCCTGCCTCAGCCTCCCGAGTAGCTGGGATTACAGGTGCCCACCACCATACCCGGCTAATTTTTGTATTTTTAGTAGAGATGGGGTTTCACCATGTTTGCCAGGCTGGTCTCAAACTCTTGACCTCAGGTGATCCACCCGCCTCGGCCTCCCAAAGTGCTAGGATTACAGGTGTGAGCTACTGTGCCCAGCCTTGTTTTGTTTTCTCGTATGCATTTTTGCAATTACATCTGCAAGTTTAGAGCTTGCTTTTCTCCTCTGTATTCATTGCTACATCCGGCCTTGGGTGGGTCCTCCCAAGGTGTCTGATGGCTGCCCAGAGGTCTGTGGACATCAGTGGCCCCAGCCCCCAGATGCAGCCTCCTGCATCCTGCCTGCTCCTTTGCCCACAAGCCTCAGTCCACCCCATCTGCCTGCTCCCCTCCCTTTTCCATCCCTTTCTCCCCAGGCCTTCCCTTGACTCCCACCGCTCCTCCCTCCTGCCCAATCTGTAAGACTCAAGCTCCCGTCACAACCGTCCTCCACCTTCAGCCTCCTGAAGCTCGGTGCCACTCTACTCAGGCCCTCCCCAGGGGTCTTGTGCCCCTAAATCCTCATCAGTAGAAGCTGATCACACCCCCCTTACCCCATCCCTCAGGATCCAGAAATAGGGGATCCTCCTTCCCCAGTGCTGCTTCCGGACCATGGCGTCTCCATACAAGCACTTGGCTTCTTCACTGGGCTCCCAACCTCAGCCCACTGTGTTGCTGTCCCCATCAGCCAGCTGCCCTGGCCAGTCACCTGGGCACAAAGGGCTTGGCTCCTCCCATTTCCCAGCCCATTCTACCCCGAGAACTGTTGTGTCCCAGGCTTTACTGTGTCCGCCCTCTCACTTTGCCCTTTTACCCTTGTCTTAGTTCTTCATCTCCTCTCCATCAGCCTTCACCTTCAGCCACCTCGGTCACTTGCTGCCATGCCACAGCCTGGGCCCAGGACTGCTCTCCCTGGAGGTCTTCAGCCAAAGGCCCGGTCTCTCTGACCTCACCTTCCAGCCATCTTGCTCACTTCCAACCCTGACACTCACCTGCCGCTACTCTTCATTTTGGCCCTGGCCAGTACGTGTGTACTGTCTCCCCACCTGTCCACCTTCCTCTTGGCCTTGGGCTTGGGCCCCATGGTCCATCACATCACCTGTCCCTTGTCAGTGTCATCCATTCATCCGTTCATTCATTCATTTCGTTCATCTGTTCATTCATTCATTCATGCGTTCATTCATGTGTTCATTCATTCGTTCATTCATCTGTTCATTCATCCGTTAATCCATTCATTCATTCATTCATTCGTTCATTCATCATTCCTGTAGTCATTCATCCATTCATTTATTCATTCATTCATCCGTTCATTCATCCGTTCATCTGTTCATTCATTCGTTCTTTCATTCATTCATCCATTCATTCATTCATTCTTTCATTCGTTCTTTTGTTTATCCATTCATTCATTCGTTCTTTCGTTCATTCATTGACTCATTTGTTCGTTCATCCGTTCGTTCAAGAAGCATTTCTGAGGCCTTTTGTGTGGCAGGCCCTGTTCTGGGTGCTGGCCTAGAGTGATGACAAGACACACTTCCTACCC